TACTATTTTGGGGTTCCTTATTAATTTTAATGCTACTGTTTTGGGGGTTCCTTATTAATGATAATGCCAGTAGAATCTACCCCCAAACCCTCTTCTACAGGCCCCTACATTATGTGTCTTTGGTGCTTCTTGGGTTCTCTAAACCCTAAACCCTCAACCCTCTAAGCTAGTTGAAGGGCTTTCAACAGGAACTTCAAGAGGGAACCGCCAGAGGTCTTCGCTTTGGGGCGCACAAAGCACAATATCAGGGCAACGTGATTGCCTCCGGTTTAGGGTGTAGGGTTTAGGAAGAGCAGAAATGAGTCCAACACGGAGGGTTCAACAAGAGGTTTGGGAGCTTAACCGTGAGACTTACACGTTGAGGACCGATATTCCCAAACCCGACAACCTAAGTCCAAAATCCTAGACGCTAAACCCGAAGCATCCCGAAGCCCTAAACCCTAATCCCGACGTCCACCAAGCCGTAAGAATCGAGTTGTTTGGGACTGAATTCCATTGGCCATTCGAGCATGTCAGTCGAGTCTTTCGCTCAGAGATTACTTGATCATAATAATATCAAGGAGGTTGTTGACGTTAGAAGCACACCCGTTAGCAAGGGGACCAACCGCAGCAGTGTCGACCCGGCCGAAGTGTCGGAGTACTGGTCGCGACTGTCAGCGGCATTGGGCCGAGATCCTGTTAGAGCTGCTGCGGGTATGAATCCCCTTGGGCTCTGGGGGGACGACGCCAGATATAACAAACAGAATGACAAGATTGCTTTGTTCACGATGAACGTGCTTCTTCACACTCCGCAACGATTCCGAGGTTTCCTCGGTTTCCTCAGTTCTGCAGAGACAACCTGTCTCATCTGTGCAAAACGAACGGCTGGGTCCCCTGGGACTCAGGTTAGTGGAAGGGGTCCGTGGTCCGGCCCTCCACGTGGTGAAGAAGTTCTTGCCTCGGACAAAGGGGCTTCGATCGAGGATCCTCTTCGAGCTTTCTGCGACTTTGCGGCCCTCCAACACACAGGAGGCCAGAGAGCTGTAGAACCGATGAGCATATACGGCATATACGTGCTACGCCGCCGATCCTGGTGGAGCATTTTGCAGGACCTGGATTCGGAGATCAAGATTCCCGAACCTCATCTTGGCGGAGCAAACCAGAAAGGTGGAACATGCACTTAGGATGAATAGCGTGGGGATTTTCAACACTGCATACTTTACGGGCATGAGGATAATGATGTTCCATCCCCTCACAGAAATTTAGGGATATACCGAACTATAGTAGGATCCGTATGCTTGAAGTTGTATATTTTTTTGATGAAGGGAGCTTGAAACATTTGGGAGCTGTCTGGCTTCTGCTGTATCTCCTTCAACCGAAATACCCTAAACCCTAAACCCTCATCGAAATACCAAAGCGTGACCGCCTTCGGCCAGGTTCTGAGATAGCCTGCCTTGAACGTCTGACGTCCGTCTTCAACGCCGCCTTAACCGGAATAGGAATGATAAGGATCAGTGCCATGTTTGATAGTTGTAACGGTAGCAATAGCAATGCTAGCAAAAGCACACATTGGTAATTGTTGTTTCTTCTCTCGCTGTAGCTCAAGCGTGGCAGGTTTAAGCCCACCGTTCACCCTTAAGTTTCAAATCCCAAAACCATAATCCAGAACTTGAGCATCGTGGCTGCCTTCGCAGTACTGGTTTGCGGTCGCTAGGCATCAACGCAGGGTTTAGGGTCTGGGGGTGGGGGTTTTCGGGTTTGGGGAATATGGGGGTTGAGGAAAGTGTCTGAAAATCATGATGTATGTTTTTGGTGCGGTTTGGCGCTTTAAACCAATTAGAGGTCTTTTTTAGTGTCCATATGCATCATGTTGCATTCACCGGGCATTAAGAACCCTAAACCCCTAACCCTAAACCCTAATGGATTTAGGGCTTTGGGTTTAGGGTGTGAGGGCTTAGCATGGCGTTTGCAATGGAATCGTGCCAGAAATCTGGCGCATTGATCCAGAGCCACGGGCCTGTTCTGTTCAGAAGCACAGCAGCAAGACCCTAGCGTGATCCTAAGCCATACAGGCCGATATCAATATCGAAGAGCCTCAAGACTCACAACCTTCAACATGCCAAGCCTAAAGCACAGGCCACACGACCATCCGGGCTTGGGAACAGGTGGATCGATGGATGGATGGATGAATGTATGCAAGTGTATGGTAGAGTGTGTAAGAGCTATTGAGCCTTTAGGTTCTTTGTTACACGGGGTCTGCCAATATAGGGGCCTCAATAATTACCTATACTATTCTTGAGGGTCCTTATTTTAATTATATAGGACCCCAAAGCCCTCTTCTAATTAATAAGGCCCCTATACTACACTGTGACACAGGGTCTTATCTTACTCAGGGTCTTTTCCCTAAACCCCTAAAGCCCTAAACCCTACACCCTAAGCCCCTAAACCCCTAAACCCGGGTGTTCAGGGCTTCTCGTCAGAAAGTGACACATCGCTGGCATGGCTTGGCTTGTGTATAGAGGCGTCGGAACTTTGAAAAATACGACATGTGTGCGTGTGTGTAGATATGTACGTATGTGTATATGTATGTGTGTATGTAATTGTACATATATATATATATAATGATATTATATGCATGTGCGGACACAAATATTCCGTACATGAAGAACCAAAATGTAGGTAGTGTATACACATACATACATACATACATACATACATACATACATATATATATATATGTATATATATATATATACGCAAGCATACAGCTGCATGCAGCTAACCACAAGAAGCTTGAACCCTAGAAATCATTTAGTTTCATCGGGCTAAAGCCCTGAAGCCACCTGGACCTTCTCATGTTCACGTAGATTGAGTTCCTTATCATGTGGGTATTAATACCTTTGCTAAATTCTTGAAATAGTACTCTAAATTCTCAGGGTAACTCTTACAGACCCATTTAAAGGACGCCTTAAGGGAG